ACGGTGATCGTGATGGAGTAGCTCTTTTGAGGGCTGAGTTTACTGAGTTCCAGACCAACGTTAATCGAACCTTGCTTGATATGCATGAAACTATGCGTCAAGTATTGGTGAGATTGACAACAGTAGAACTTAATCGCGAGAACAACAGGCTGCCCAACGGCGGTGATCATGGACGTCCTGCTGGTAATCGCAACCCAAACCCACCGAATAGGCAACCAGCCTATGAGAAAAATGTCGGTTTTGGTAACCACCGAGCCGTACAGGTGTTTGGAGATAATCGAGGTCGATGGGAAATTGATGATTCCAGGGATTTTCGTATGAAGATTGACCTACCCACCTTTCAAGGTCATCTTCGTATTGAAGAATTCTTGGACTGGATTAGTGAAGTTGAACGTTTCTTTGACTATATGAAAATCCAGGAGGAGAAGCAAGTCAAACTCGTGGCCTATAAGTTGAAAGGCGGCGCATCAGCATGGTGGGATCAAGTGCAAACTACCCGTGCACGTGAGGGCAAGGAACCAGTACGTACATGGCTTAAGATGAAGAAGTTGATGAAAGCTCAATTTTTACCCCCTGATTACGAACAGGTTCTTTATCAGAAATATCTGTCCTGAAGGATTGCTGAATATGCTGAAGAATTTTATCGGTTGTCATCCCGTAATAACCTGGTGGAACCCGAATTTAGCATGGTGGCCCGTTTCAAAGGCGGGTTGCAATGGGATATTGAAGAGAAAGTGGCGCTGCAACCGTTTTTCAGACTGTCTGAGATTGTCAAGGCGGCAGAGAGAGCAGAATCGTTACTGGAGAAGTCAAAGAATCGGTCTCGTGGTTCATATAATACCCCACGTCCTACACGACATGGGTAAACAGACCGCAGTAGCTCCTGTTCCAATGACATGGCGAGGCATTGGAGATGGTCCAACAAAGGCCAAACCCGCAGCACCCATAGGCCCTGCTGGAAGGGGAACCCCAGGTGTGAATCCCTATGCACACCCAAGTATGGGCAAGTGTTTTCGATGTGGAGAACCTAGCCATAAATCCAACAATTGCCCTAAGCGACCGACAGTAAATCTGGCGAGGGTGAGGAAGGTGAGTTCCTTACCTTTGAAGAAGAAGAGGTGACTGAAGGAGACAATGGCGAGTTGTTGTCCCACTCTTTAGTCGTGAGGAGGTTGATGTTCACGCTAAAGAAGGAGGAGCACCCACAGCATCATAATGTGTTCCGTACACGTTGCACTGTCAACCATAAGGTATGTGACGTTATTATTGATAGCAGCAGTAGTGAGAACATTGTTTCCTTAACAATGGTTCGAAAATTGGAGCTTAAAACAGAGAAACATCTCCATCCATACAAAATTGGATGGATTAAGAAAGGCTCAAAAACGCGAGTAACTGAAACTTACACCGTTCCATTTTCAATTGGGAAAACATATGCAGAGGAGGTGCGTTGTGATGTAGTCGACATGGATGCATGCCATATGATATTGGGCAGACCGTGGCAATTTGATGTCGATGCCACTCACCGCGGTAGAGACAATGTGTATATTCTATACAAGAATGGTCAGAAGATTGTTTTGGGTCCGATGAAAGAAGCCGAATTTCCCAAAGGAAATTCAGTTATGTTGATCAACAGTGAGGAATTTATGGGTGAAGTAACAATTACCCTGAAATCTTTGTTGTTATGTGCAAGGGGGAAGTAGTTAAACAACCTCCTTTTACAGTACCAGTAATAGTGCAGCCATTACTGCAGGAGTTTAGTGAGTTGGTGCCGGAAGACTTACCTGATAGTCTCCCTCCCATGAGGGACATTCAGCACCACATTGACTTGGTGCCCGGGGCGAGCCTGCCAAATCTACCACATTACCGAATGATTCCCAACGAGAGTCAGATCTTACAAGAGCAAGTGGAAGAGTTACTACGGAAAGGGTTGATTCAGGAGAGCATGAGCCCATGTGCCGTTCCGGCCTTGCTAGTACCGAAGAAAGATGGCAGTTGGAGAATGTGCGTTGATAGTCGCGCAATTAACAGAATCACTGTCAAGTACAGATTTCCCATTCCACGGTTGGATGATATGCTGGATATGTTGGTGAGATCGAAAGTCTTCACCAAAGTGGACCTCAAGAGTGGGTACCATCAGATCAGAATCCGCCCTGGGGATGAGTGGAAAACGGCGTTCAAAACAAAAGGACTGTACGAGTGGTTAGTCATGCCATTCGGATTATCCAACACGCCAAGTACTTTCATGCGGCTGATGAATCATTTACTCAAACCATTTATTGGTCGATTTGTAGTTGTTTATTTCGACGATATTCTGGTTTATAGTCAAACAGAGGCAGAACACCTTTTGCACTTGAGAGAGGTATTAACAGCTTTGCAGAAGAATAAACTGTTCATTAATCTGAAGAAGTGTAGCTTTGTGACCCCTAGCCTAGTATTCCTCGGCTATGTGGTTTGTACTGATGGCATTCGGGTAGATGAGGAGAAGGTGAGGGCCATTCGGGAGTGGCCTACGCCGAAGAATGTGGAAGAAGTATGCAGTTTCCATGGCTTAGCCACGTTCTACCGAAGGTTCATCAAGAACTTCAGTAGTATTATGGCTCCCATCACAGAATGCATGAAGAAAGGAAAATTCCAATGGGGAGGGGAAGCTAAGATAAGTTTTGCCTTAATCAAGGAAAAACTGTCAACAGCCCCAATCTTAGTCCTTCCAGATTTTGAGAAGCTATTTCAGGTAGATTGTGATGCCTCAATAGTGGGAATCGGAGCAGTTCTATCACAAGAAGGAAGGCAACTAGCGTTTTACAGTGAGAAGCTGAGTGAAGCACGCAAGAAGTGGACTACCTATGAGTTGGAATTCTATGCGGTGGTGCAAGCTTTGCATACATGGGAGCATTATCTTATCCAGCGAGAGTTCGTGCTGTTTACAGATCACCAAGCACTGAAATCCATTAACAATCAAAACAGTGTCAATCGGATGCACACGCAATGGGCGGCTTATATCCAGCAATTCACCTTCTCGCTAAAACACAAGTCAGGCCAACAGAACAAAGTTGCAGATGCACTAAGTCGAAGAGCAGCTTTCTTAGTAACTATGAGGGCTGAAATCACAGGGTTCGAATGCCTAAAGGAGTTATATGAGGCTGACAAAGATTTTGGCCAAGCCTGGGTAGCATGTAAAACAAGCCAATCCTTTAAAGGGTTGCACATGCAGGAAGGATTTCTCTTTAATGGCAATCAGTTGTGTATTCCACGGAGCTCTTTGCGGGAGCAAGTGGTTCGTGAATTCCATGGTGGAGGATTAGGAGGACATTTGGGGCGTGATAAGACGCGAGAGCTGGTAGAAGAACGGTATTATTGGCCACAGCTCAAGCGTGACGTGGAGAACCATGTGCGGCGGTGCTCAATATGCCAAACTAATAAAGGCCAATCTCAGAATACTGGTCTTTACACACCGTTGCCTATTCCAAATGCTCCATGGGAGGATTTATCCATGGATTTTGTTCTAGGGTTGCCGAGGACGCAGCGAGGAGCAGACTCTGTTTTTGTGGTGGTCGATCGATTTTCAAAGATGTCTAATTTTATTGCATGCAAGAAGACGAACGATGCAGTCCAAATGGCTAATCTGTTCTTTAAGGAGGTGGTTCGTTTACATGGGGTTCCACAGTCCATTACCTCATATCGTGACACCAAGTTTTTATCTCACTTTTGGCGGACTTTATAGAAGAGATTCGATACCTCTCTTAATTTCAGTAGCACCAGTCACCCCCAAACTGATGGCCAAACAAAGGTGGTGAATAGGACCCTTGGAAATCTAATTCGCTGTATTTCAGGAGAGAAACCAAAACAGTGGGATCTTGCTCTTGCCCAGGCAGAATTTGCTTACAATTGCATGCTTAATAGGTCCACTGGCAAATCCCCGTTTGCGGTTGTGTATTGTTGTCCTCCAAAAGTTGCTTTGGATTTAGTATCCTTACTGAAGTTGCCAGGGAAGAGTGTTGCTACAGAGAAAATGGCTGAGCACATTAAGACTATTCAGGTGAGTGTCAAGAAACATCTAGAGGAAACTTACGCCAAATACAAGGCCGCAGCTGACAAGAGACAAAGGAAAAGAGTATTTGAAGAAGGGCACCTGGTTTTGGTGTATCTAAGAAAAGAGAGGTTTCCAGTGGGAACATACAACAAGTTGCAGGCCAAGAAATATGGTCCATACCAGATTTTAAAGAAAATCAACGACAATGCCTATGTGATTGATTTTCCTGCTGACATGACCATTTCTTCTACCTTCAATGTGGGTGACATACATGAATATTATCCACCAGATTTGAGTAACTCGGGGACGAGTTCTTTTTACGCAGGGGAGACTGATGTAGAACAACTCGCTCACAATTATCTGAGCATACAGGATCATCGCAAATCAGGGAGGCTGAAAGGGTAAGGAGAATAGAAGGAAATAAATAAATAAATAAATAAATAAGAAAAAGTCAAAAGGAGATTTGGTGTAGTTGCCAGCAATAGAAGATATTATTCTCCATTGCAAGATTTAAGGAGGATTCTAATCTATCAAATCTCAGATTTCCCCTTTAATATTATTTCACAAATGCTTTCTTTTTTTATTTTATTTTTGACTTGCCTATATAAAGGCAAGAGATGTAAGTCTACAAACATCATCATTATCAATATAATTTCAATTTCTCTCTTGTGAGTGTGTTCTTTGTGAGTTCAAGGGTTTAACCCTGTTCTTTATCGTTTCCGCTACGTTAAGATGACACCCAAAGAGTGTGCACCCATGATTCATGTCAATAGGCAAGGAAAATGGCGTGAGGTGCTATCCATAGGATAGGTCAACTAACGTCCTTTAAATAAGATTACCACAAAATATACCATACAACTCTAATATAAATATTATATATATATATATATATATATATATATATATATATATATATATATCCACTTTGTTGTATTTAAAACCAAGAAACAGTAGGTGGCATTAGTAGTACCTGATCAGGAAAAAGGGCACCAGGTTGGTAAGTTTTGTCAACTGCATTATGACGAATAGTTAATCTGGCAAAATCTTCATCAACAAATATTCTCTCTCCCCCAATAGATCCACCAAATGCAATCCCAACAGGCTTTGGATGAGGATCATAGACTCTACCTGCAGGATGCAGATGGCTATACACAAAATTTTTCGCCTTCCCTGCCAGGAAATAAATATTTGTTACTTAGCTTCAGGAAGGGGTGTACAAATATAAATGCTTCTCTGTAATCTGTTTCTTGATTATCTTCAAGTTACATACCAGAAGCTGAGAATACATGAAAGACCGGACTTATAGCATATATACTACCAGAGCTTCCATAGAACACATCTCTATTTTCATAACCCTGATGAGTAAGTGCACCAATGATCCATCTCCTGATACTGGCATTACCATCAGGATCTCCAGAACTTGCTGCAATCAATGTTAACATCGGGCCTTTATAACCTTCAACATTTGACCAGAAACGGTTCAAACCTTTCCCATGAAGAGATGACCTACAAAGTAGTGTGGAAGTATGGTAATAATTCTACAATTTAAATGAGCCAGTAAGCAATTGTGTAGACTGGATGTGACTAGAAATATGTGAAATCAATTTATAAGAGAAATAAAAAGGACTGCCGACAGAGTTCAGCTTATATATTGGTTGCAAACGGACACATAAGAAAGTAAAATTTGCTATATAAGACTGCTTTATCTTTCAAATTTCAACAACAAAAGCAACAGCCTCATGAAATGGTGTACCACTAGAAGAGGTTAATAAAATATACATATAGAAAGATATATATATCGAGAGAGAGAGGGACAGAATTGAAAAGTTAAATGTCCTTATTTTTTAGATGCCTCAAACCACCTTCTTGGAGGATGATACAAACCCTCATCCTAACAACGCCCTGCACATAGGAGGAGTTCCCCATATCCCTTCCCTGCTCTGGCTAGTGCAACTTTATATATAAATGAGTATATATATATAGAGACAGAAGGTTTTATTTTATTTTATTTTATTTTTTGGTGGGTGTGGGAATGTGTGGAGGAGAGAGGGGGAGGGGGGCTGGGGTGTTTGGTTTACTTGACAATAATGGGAAGAAGGAAGCAATCATGTTCGTTGGAAGAGTTATATTGAATGCTGAAATTAGGTAACCAGATGATGAAAGGAAGTGTTAAAGAGAGTGAGATTCTGAAGAAATGAGAAGGAAAATAATAATAATAATAATCAGAGATCAGACATGGAAAGGCCTTCATCTCTAGCAGCGTGACAAAGCGGATGGCACGACAGCTAGGGCATCAAGACTCAAGGTTGTCCAATGGCATGTGATCATCTAGTGTGACAGTTGGCTAGACTATTGAACTAGAGAAGAGAGTATATCTGATGAAGGAAACCCAAGACCTTTATGGTATTTTAAAAGTAAGAACATTTTAAAAATAAAATAAACAAAGGGAATTTTATTCATTCTATATGGAAGTGATGGATTTGCCTTATTTCTGACCCTGGCCCCAAACCTTTGAGGTTTTAGTTGTTTTCTGCAAACCTGTCCCAATACAGGTATATTAATTTACCATCCCTATTTGCGAACTCATTTCTGCAAACCCATTCTAGATGTATATCCCTCTCATGCCTTTCTTTCCCAATATCAAGTCCATAGAGCACTTCAATTTTATATTTTATCTATATCTTATTTGAGAAAAATGCGAGTTTATGGATCAGTTATTGATATCTCATCTATACAATATTGGCAGGGTTAACAACGATATTTAATCCAAAGGTAAGCTTTCTGCATTATGGGTCTTGCAAAGAGTTTAAAAGTGTTTACTTGATGATAATGGGAAGAAGGAAACAATCATGTTCGTTGGAAGAGTTAAATTGAACGCTGATATTAGGTAACCCGATAATGAAAGGGAGTGTTAAAGAGATCGGACATGGAAAGGCCTTCATCTCTAGCAGAATGACAAAGACGGCGGATGGCACGACAGCTAGGGCATCAAGACTCAAAGTTGTCCAATGGCATGTGATCATCTAGTATGACAGTTGGCTAGATTATTGAACTATAAACGAGAGTATATCTGATGAAGGAAACCGAAGACCTTTACGGTATTTTAAAAGTAAGGACATTTTAAAAATAAAATAAACAAAGGGAATTTTATTCATTCTATATGGAAGTAACGGATTTGCCTTATTTCTGATCTTGGCCCCAAACCTTTGGGGTTTTAGTTGTTTTTTGCAAACCTGTCCCAATACAGTTATATTAATTTACCATCCCTATTTGCGGAACTCATTTCTGCAAGCCCGTTCTAGATGTATATCCCTCTCATGCCTTTCTTTCCCAATATCAAGTCCATAGAGCACTTCAATTTTATATTTTATCACTATCTTCTTTGAGAAAAATGAGAGTTTATGGATCAGTTATTGATATCTCATCTATACAATATTGGCAGGGTTAACAATGATATTTAATCCAAAGGTAAGCTTTCTGCATTATGGGTCTTGCAAAGAGTTTAAAAGTGTGCAAGGATATAGACATCTTCATCACTGGTAAAATGCTCATACTATAAATCTGTTTTTGTGGAACGATAGATGGATGAATGGAGAGAGATATTATTTTGCAGAAATAAATGTACTCGAGCTTTTCCCATGTAGAATACATAAGGAATAAAAAAAACTATTGATTAACTATTACAAGGAAGTGATCTTGAAAAGGCTTGAATGGCAAAAAAAGACTAACCTTGCCAGCCCAAATTCTTAAATTAACACTCAAAATTAATTAGCATGTGAAGTCCAGGGATTGAAGACTGTCATGCATACATCACTTTTGACTCGAGTGGAGGGCTCAATCCCCGAAGAATGAATAAATAAACAAAGACCCCCACATGAATTCTTAGTTCTAGCACAAGTTAAACAAGCACGATATTAAGACAAAAACTAATACATGTATCAGGTAGACTACATTAGTCTTTTTATTTAACAATTCTTGAGTGTTGTACAGCTGCTATGAAAAAATGAATAACTATTTAGGCAAGACAAGACCAAAGGAAGAAAAGGACAAACCTATAAAGTGGGCTTTCATTTGTTCGATCGCCATCACCAGGGAAGCATACTTTTAAAATCCCTTCACTTAAAGGACTTTTAAGAGTAAGGGAAATGGCCCAGGCCCTTCCACGGGTTAGAAGATAAGTATTGCACCCCGTTGTTGATGAAATATCAGAGACTGATGAGCATGATGGTTCCAACTTGTCCTACCGATGGTTAATAATATTCCAAAAAGTTAGTATCTGTAAGTTTCACAAAATAAGTATATCAACTGCAGTACTGAAACTTGATCATGTTCACAGAATACAACCTTCTAAAAATTGCAAATGTATGATGGTTTTAATAAAAATAAATAAATAGAAAAAGAAAGAAAAGGATAGAGAGAGAGAGAGAGACTACACTAAGAGGCAATTGACACAAATAGTTACCCAACAGCTTACACTTATCATTTATAACTAATTCCAAGATGTTGAGGAAAACAATTTCAGTTGCTAAATAAGACACAGGAATGCCACAAATCAACAACACTGCTGTATGATCCACAAACTTCACTCTACATTAGTACAATTTTGCTTGCAAAGGATTAAGAACACCACCAAAGTCTATCATGATTCAAGCATAATCAAGAAAAATGGCATTTACCTTTCCTAATGATACATTGTTCTTGCTAAAGAAATATAGAAGAATTTTAACAAAAAAAATAATCCTAATGATACATTGTTCTACTTGCTAAAAAAATGTATGATAGTTTTAATAAAAAAATAAATAGAAAAAGAAAGAAATGGATAGAGAGAGAGACACACACACAGAGAGAGAGAGAGAGAGAGAGAGAGAGACTACACTAAGAGGCAATTGACACAAACAATTACCTAATAGCTTACACTAATCATTTATAACTACTTCCAAGATGTTGAATAAAACAATTTCAGTTGCTAAATAAGACAAAGGAATGCCACAAATCAACAACACTGCTATATGATCCACAAACTTCACTCTACATTAGTACAATTTTAATTGCAAAGGATTAAGAACACCACCAAAGTCTATCATGATTCAAGCATAATCAAGAAAAATGGCATTTACCTTTCCTAATGATACATTGTTCTACTTGCTAAAGAAATATAGAAGAATTTGAACAAAAAATACTAAATTGTATTCTTCTCAAGTAAGCATTATTATCATATGATTTCAACAAAATTTGGTAGCAAAATTTTGATACAGAGCAATATATCCTCTGAAATAAAAGGAAGCGCAGTACCTCTGAAGTTAGAGAACTACATAGTCTTGCATGGACAAATTGTGTAAAGCAATCTGCAAGGCTTGGCACTGTTTTTAAGGCCCATACATGAATCTTTCCCGCAGGAAGTTGGACATCCAAGCACAATATATCACAGTCCCATACATTCAGTTCGCTACCAACTTCTGTGCAAGATACAACAGCAGATAGTACTAAATGACTTATATCTGGAAGACCACAATCTGCTATCCCTTCAGAAGATTTCAATTTTCTAGAATTCCATGACATAATCCAAGACATCCAAAGAAGCATGAGAATATCAACAGAAATTAAAGACCCATTCACCTTACAATCAGCATCACCGGATTCAAACTGCAATTTTGCAGGAAGACCAGCCTTTACAGCTACAGCCGCAAATATCCTTAATAAATTATTAAGTGACGTTGAAGCGGTTGTCCTCCAACAGCACTTAATATAACCTCTCAAGAACTCAATCCAACTTATTCCTCCTTTTTCGGTCACAAAAAAGAGATCAACTATGGATGGACCAAGATGATCAAACAACCCCATAAAGCAGTCAGGCATCGAAGAAGCTTCACATAATGTATTTTCAAAGGTTATAGAGAAGCATTGCTGAAATCAACAAATGGTAAGGTCAGGACACAACAGAAAACCTGAACATCTAGAAATATAAGCTTGACCATCAATGAAATAGCATCATAGCATATGATAAAAACAGGAAGGACATAAGGTCTAGATGATATTACAATTGAGGTTTACATGTGTTTAGGAAATGATGGATGTCCTAGCTACCAAAATAGTTCAATAAGAACATAATAACTTCGAAAATGCCTGATGAGTGGTGAAAAATTACTTTATTACCTCTATAAAAGTAGGGGTTATATTTTAAGTTGTAAAAAATAATAATGTTATTAAATTAGTGGGACATACTATGAAGAGGTGAACAACAACAAAAACATAAAACAATAGTGCCAGAAAATCAATTTGGATTTCCTCTATAAATGTCAACAATAGAAGCTATTTACATAAAGAGGAAGCTAATGGAAAGATGTGAAGAGATTAACAATGATTTTCATATGATTTTTATATATTTAAATAAATCCTACGATAAGCTCCATAAATATAATATAGCGCGTTTCAGAGGGGAAAAAAATTAGTTACAAAAAAGTACTATTGATGTGATAAAATAAATGTACATGGAGCAGTGAATAAAATAAGAAAATAAGCAAGAGAAATAAGTGAAATTCCAAATGATTTTAATCTTACATCAAATAATATCAATATTAAACCCCTATTTTTTGCTTGATTATCGAAGAATTAACAAAACACAGAGGATGAAGTTCCCTGATTTATGCTAACATTGTTTTGATCAATGAAATTCAAAAAAGGGTGAGTGCTAAACTAGACATCCGGAAATCATCCGAGTTTAGTTGCAGATAAATGAATTTCCTTTTATACTCCATAAGGGTCATTTTAATTTTCTCAAATTTAAAACATTTATCTTTTCTTTTCTTTTTTTCTATTATGAGGATTTGGGGTCTATAGAAATAAAATTGTATTCCAAGTTCATTTGTGTAATTAAAGTGCGATTAGACGATTGAGAACTCTAACGAGGAGTAAAGATACGCAAATATGATTAGGGTTTTGAAGAAGACAGACAAGAAGAGTTGAGAGGTAGGGTTTAACCTGGAGAGAAATGACAGGAACAGAGTGAATTTGTGGATCGACGAGCCTAGAGAAGGCTTTTTGAAGCATGGGAAGGGCACCAGTCGAAGCAGCTAGGGCTTCGACCTCTCGTTGTTGTGGCGGAACCTGCTCCGTCGAAGATCCCGCCCCCATTTCAGCTTCTCTCCCCTCCTCTCTTTTTTATTCTTCTTTTCTTCTCCGGAAGGAAAAACTCTTGACCTGATAGACAAATCTACGAAGTATTAAGATTTTGATCCATATTTTACTCAAATTCAATTTGATATTGAATTGAAAGATAGGATAACTTAGAGCCCGTGGTCATGGTTCGTATGATATGAAAATAATTTTGGTATTAGTGCGTTTTTAATAAAAATAAAAATCATATTTGAGAAAGACTATTTTGTTTTTTATAATTGGATATTAAAAACATGAAAGCGAATTTAATTACATCATGCGTTTTAAATAAATCAAAAACAAAACATATTTGAAAAGTTGTTTTATAGTTAAAAATTCTAAATCAATAACATGATACTGTTTGATAAAAATTTGTTTTGTTTTTATTTTGAATAATTAAATAAAAAAAAATTCTCCATTAAGAGTTGTAAAAAAAATTATGAATAAATTTACATGTATAAATAAGATCATGTGAAATTTTTATGAAATACAAACATGATTAGTAGCAACAAAATTACAATTCTAACTTTATAATAATCTTTCGACGAGAGAAAATCTTTGCACTACCATTACCTGTCCAACTGAATCCATTACCATACAAAGTAAAGGTTTATTTATTTATTTATTTTAACCATAAGGGTATGTAGATACCTTTACATATTGTAGTAATTTAAGATACTAAATAGTGCAAAAATAATACTACTTACTGCCTTGGATAAGAACAAGTGCCAGCTTTTGATTAAACAAGACCAATCACAGGAAGAATATATCAATCAATTTCCAATATACATTATTCAAGTCATCAATGTTTTATTGTTCTTGTTATTATTGAATTAAATTAACATTCATGACACAGACCTTGAAGCAAAAAATGAACAAGTCTGTGTTTTGTTAATTTCTTTACCATTGATGGAATGCTTCATTTTTCCAACAACTGATGGCACCAATCCAATTTTCGCGAAAGACCAAACTGCTATTACAAAGAGTTGCCCTTAATACTTAGCAGAAATCACCAATTCTGATTTCATTAGAAAAATGCTTTAAAAAGGTTACCTTAGCACTTCAATTCCTGTGTAATGCAGCATTACTAAACATCTAAAGCCTCCCAGATTTTAATTACCTCACTTTAGCTATTAGGACATAAGGAAAAACAGAATATAAAATTCTTTATTCTGACCACAAACACGAAAATTTAAGTTAACCTATATAAGCAACAATTTCAATAATCTCAATCTTTATAAGTGGAAAAGTTATTGTTCAATAAACACAAAAATACAAAATTGATTCCTTGTGTCAACACTACAATTGACTCGACATGTATCACGTAGGAGGAGACACAGATGAATGGGAGTCAGTTGGTAAGAAAGAATCCCATCATCTAAGCTGAACATACCCAAATCATAAGCAACTCCTGGACCTTGATACTCCCATCATCTAAGCTGAACATACCCAAATCACAAGTAGCTCATGGACCATCATATGTTGTTAGGCGCTGAATATTATACATTTTAGCCCCTTTACTTGCTTGTTTTATTCTCTTAATAATAGTTTATTTATGATTTTACATTATTTTATTGTTTTTATTTATTTCAGAGTTTTAATTGTAAAATCAGTTATGACCAGTGATTCTAAGTTTTAACAGATGACATTCCATGGGACCGAGTAATATTGAAGATCCAAGTCTAATTATACTTAGAAAATATTCCAAAAGAAGCCACAAGTTGATAAGAATGGAAAGAAGAAGAAAAGGAAAACTCCTCCAAAAAGGAAACTTTCGCCGAAGTTGGTAACTTGAACCCATTTTGGTAATCTGGCTGTATCTATCTCCTCGAGTGTCAAAACAGCTAAATTCTGGCATATATTGAAAGGAAATTCAAAGAGCTACAATTTTGTATTTCGCGAGGATTCCATAAAACAGCTATTTACCTTGTCAAAATTGGCCTGAAAGTCTGTACGAATTTTGGAGTCCTTATTTGACAGAATTTATACGTATGACTTCTATATTAAAAAGGGAACTTTAGGGCTGATCTTTTATTATTTAAAGGGAGTTCTCTACAGCATTGAATGATCATACAGAAGAGCTTGAGGCTGAGATCAGAGAGGAGCATTCAGAAGAAAGAAGAGATCAATCCATGGCGATGAAGATGTCTTCCTCAACCATGAAGAATTCCATTACAGTCATACTTGGCTAAACGCTTTGCTAGGGTTGTGATGTAGCCCTAGCTTAACACACTGGTTTGATTGTATTTATTTATTAGAGAACAATTTTTATCATGCATGATTGTGTAGTCTATAGGATTTTTAATTGACTTTTATAAGAATCGGTTTTAGAGTTTTAATTCAATTACAAATATTTTTCTATCTTGTCTTAGATATTGTAATCTTGTAATTGAACACAACTCATTCACATCTTGTAGTTGTGAATGAGATGATTACACAATGGTTTTTTTTCTGAATATAATGTTAGAGATTTGATGGATTATGTCTAGAAAAGATAGACCATACTACATCCTAGAGTAAAGTAGTTAGGTAAATGGTTTATACCAATCGAAAATAGTCCATGCTTAGTTTTGAATTATATTATTTTCTAGTTGAATTAATATGTGCTTGTAACCATGATTAATTCCCTATGCATGTTATATGATATATTTCCAATAAATTGATGCAATTGATTGGTGGTGCGACGTTAGTGGTGAAATTATACCCCTAGTTCTCTTTCTCTATTTTCTACATCCTATTTAATCATTATTCTTTAGTTTATTTTATTTTTCTACTTAGTTAATTTAGAATTAATCATCACAATTAGATTATCCTACTTTCAAGTTAATTTGGAATTTAAGAAATCTGTTGACAAACTTAATTTACACAAGTCCCTTAGGTACGACACCCTTACAAGTAAGCCCTATCTGCAAAGATTCGTGCACTTGCGAGTGGTACATATAAATCTCACAACAAGTTTTTGGCGCCGTTGCCGGGGACTTGTTTTAGTTCTTTACAGATAATATTAAATTTTACAATTAATTTCAACTAGGATCTTAGTTTAGGATTTTAATTTTATTTTATTTATTTCTTTATTTTGATACTGTTTTATTTTAATTATTGCATGTGACATTATATGCTTGGAAGAGGTTCTTTGTCACTCCCTCAGCTTCCGTTAGACCTAGAAATCAAAGGGACTCTTAAAAACTTGAAGAAAGATTTTAGAGGCTTTAAAAAGGAAAAGATGGCAGATGATCCACCAGCTACAGAAGTAGTTCGCTGTTTAAAGGATCACTATGAACCAGGTGCATACAACTCTTCATCTACAGTTTGGTATCCTTAAGTGAGGACCCCTCACTAGGAAATTAAGGCCGGTACTCTTCAATTACTGCCTTCGTTTTACGGCCTATCAAAAGAGGATCCATACCGGCACTTGGATGACTTTGTAGAGGTGTGCAGAATAATAAAGATCTAGAGCTTTGACGATGATGTGCTCAAGCTACACCTTTTCCCCTTTTCATTGAAGGACAAGGTGAAGGATTGGTTTAATTCATTGCCAACAAACTCCATCACTACATGGGCTGAATTGCAACAGAAGTTTTTGAACAAGTACTTCCCCATGGTGAGAACTACTCAATATCGAGATGCTATTACTCATTTTGCTCAAGGGCCTTAGGAGCCTTTTTCATGAGGCTTGGGAAAGTTTAAGAGACCTCCTTTGAAAGTGTCCTCATCATGACATGCCAAAATGACAGCTTGTCAACTTCTTTCATAAGGGGCTCAATGAGGCACAAAGGTATATGGTGGATGCCTCTTGTGGTAGAAATTTTAAGTTGAAAAGTGTAGAGGAAGCATGGTAGCTTTTCGAAAATATATCTGATAATTCTACACAATATGTCTTACCTTCGGTAGCAAGACCTCGTACCATATTAAGGATAGCAGAATGTGTGAATGAAACAGGAATAAATCTAGGGCTAGTGAGCCAAATGGAGGCATTAACCAAGAGGATGGATCAATTGATGACTTCATAGTCAAATTTTACTCCTCCTTCGACTAATGCTCAAGGCTTTGAAGTGTGCTCTTTCTGTTCCTGTCTATCTCACCATGTGTCCATTTGTCCAAGTGCAGCTCAATATTCAACAATTTCACAAGAGCAAGTTAATGCTGCCTATAGAACACCCGGAGGTAATATGTTTTCAAACACTTACAATCTAGCTTGGAGAAACCATCCTAACTTCTCATGGAGAAATCCAGCCACAGGGACATCAACTCCTCCATCTTAAGTACCTCAGGTACAAGGCAATTTTCAATCTCTAGTTCAGACTTTAAATCCTTAAGGGTTCACTCATATGAATGCCTTCAATCAACCTCAATAATTCTTATCAATGCTTGAGGCAATGATGTCAAAGCAGTTAGAGCCAATTAATCAACTTGTGCAGTCTCATTCTCAACTTGTGCAATCTCATTCTCAATCCCTTGCCAAGTTAAAGACTCAAGTTGCTAACTAGCTCAAGTCTTGAATCGAAGAGAGGATGTCAAACTTCCTAATCAACCAGTAGCTAATCCAAGAGATGTGCGTATAATTGATGACATTACTTGCCAAGAAGTCCACCATGAACAAGTGTAAGTAATTACTACTTTAAGAAGTGGTAAGAGGGTTGAAAACAAGGTGGAAGAAGAGAAAACAAAGAAGGGTGAAAATTGGAAGAAAAGACTTAAAGAGAAAAAAAAAAAGCGTAATGAAAAAGCACAAGAAGTGTAATGACCCGGTCATTTTCCTTCCTTTCTTTTTTCTCAGATTTTCACGGATATTTTTTTTCCCATTGTTCTTTTCCTTTCTGAGTTCAGTTTCTCATCACTTAGTGTCATCTCGAGTGCTTTGGAATGATTTCTGAGATTCTTTTCCTTAGATTGACAACTTTCTTCGAGGACTGCGTCATTTCCACATTTTTATTTTTCGACACTATTCACTTTTCGTCATTTTCCCTAGTTTGTCTTTTCCCCGTTTGTCACTTTTTGGCACAACCTCAATTTTTGTGTTTGGAATTGATTTTTGACTTCACGTATCTTCATTCTAAGTGGTTTCCACGAAATACGTATCTTTACTTTTGCAAAAAAATACTCTAGTTGCTCCCGGTGTTCATAGGGGCATGGATGCACAGTTCTTCAGAAACTTTTTCTTTTCTT